ATTCAAAGAGGATTTTCAAATTGTTTCAAGAAATCCTTGAGAAGAAACAACACATTCTCAACAAACTTCATGACTTTTCAAGTGGTAAAACAATATTCTGAGTGGAAAACTAAATGTGCCAAGCTAAAGTTTGAGTCAATCTCAAAAGCCATTAAATTGAAGGCAGTGACTAACCAAGACCACCTGTGCCCAAAACACTGAAGATTACAAAGCAAGAAATCCAAGGCAGCTCTACTTTATCAATATCAACTATCAAAACGACACTGATCAAAGTAAAAAGGAATAGATATTCAATATTAAAATTACAAGTAAAAATACGAATTGTGGCATTATTACTTGCTAAAAGACAAAACAAAACAAAAAAGCATCTTTATCTTTTATTAAAAATAATTCTGATGACACGACTTCACAGCAGCGCACAAATTACTTATGCACTAAGGAAAATGGCCAACTCACTAATCAATGACTGTTTTATATGTTTCTCTAAGCTTACCAAAGCTTTGAAGTCTTATGTTACATCTAATAAAAATCATTATTACCCACTTGTGTTTGAAAATCACAGTAACAACTTTCTATTATTTATTTCCTCACATTTTCCAGATGTTATTAAAGGAGAATTCTAACATTAGAATAAATAAAATTATTCTGAATCTAAAAATACAATCCAAAATGTTAGTCTATCTACCTTTGAGCCTCAAGGCTGAATCCAACAAATGATTTTGCAAAAGCATTCAATTAAGTTTGGATGGCTGTCCTGTAATTCTCCAGATGAAAAGCTTGAAAGCTGGTTAAAAGATATCAAGAGAGCTGACAACGTAGGTAAGCACTGTTCCTTACCAAGCCCACAATTTCAGTAAAACATGCAGTCAGTTCTACCAAAGACAGTTTATAATACCAGCATCAAGTAATGCTTTTAAGATTCAGGAGCTTAAATCTACTCTAAGCAGGGTAACGATCATTTTATATTGTCTATGAAGTTTCATATTTAGCTCTATAAATTTAGCAACATAAAGTTTATTCTCATAAAAATAAAATTTCTTCTTTAATGAAGTGAAATTAGTCCATAAACTAATCCCTCTGTGTATTCCAATTTATTCTAATAAATTATGACTAAACCATTCGACAACTCGCTAGGGTTTCTAAACTCAAGTTATTCCAAGAAAACAGTAATCAACCATTTGTGGCAATTTTACACATTACTAAATCTTAAAGAACTAATAGCAAAGAAAAAAGTCACCAAAAAGTAAGTTCAGCCTATGGCCAGAAAAACTGAAGTTGTTATATCTATGTAGGTTTTACTATACTTTCTAAAAATGAGATTAAGATTCAAACAAGATACTGGTTCTAGGTCACTATATAAGACTAAAGGAATTAAGGGTCCAGAGAGTGCTTTCTGTACTTTCCTTGCAAAATCACATCATACACATTAATAATGGTAGTAGAGAAAGAAAGAAAGAGTACCAATACTATTACTGTTCTTTATTTCTAAAGATTTTATTTATTCATTGTTATTGCTCTTAAGTATCTTCCAAGGTGTTCACAACACTTAACATAAATTACATAAACAGTAAACAGAATATACCTTAGGAGGTAGTTAAGGGCAGGGGAAGAAAAATTTGCGAAAGACTATATAACAGGCCAGCTGAATAACCAAATTCTGAAGGGATTTTTAAAATCAATATCCCAAGACAAACCATAGTTTTGCTATTGTACAGCAAATAACAGCTGACCTTGGGAAAGTTATAAAAAAAAATTAAAATACTAAGGGGCTGGGGCACCTGGGTGGCTCCATGGTTGAGCATCTGCCTTTGGCTCAGGTTGTGATCCTGGGGTCCAGGATCAAGTACCACATTGGGCTCCCTGCACGGAGCCTGCTTCTCCGCCTCCCTCTCTCTCTCTCTGTCTCTCTCATGAATAAATAAATAAAATCTTTAAAAAAAAAAAAATCTTGAAACCTGTGAGCACTGCTGTATGTCTACATGGAACTAAGTTTTGAGGTCCTTTTAATGAATTTATACATGAATTGACTACTTGGAGACCATGAAAAAGCCGTATTTACTTGCTGCTAAAATAAGTCACCAGGATACCTGGACAAAGCATTTTAGATTCAGTGTTCAACTTACAGAGAGCTATACAAAGAGCTAAAAAAAAAAAAACCAAATCAATAATCCCTACCCTGTAAAAATTTATTCTATCATATGCTCAACTGCTGAGATCTGACCATGTCCCAGAAATAGACAAGTAATTTTAAGACACTGGTAATATTAGCTCAACTACCAACAAAGATAGACTAACTTTTCAATATTTCTTTTTGCCTTAATGAAGAATTAAAGATGCATATAATAATTCACAAAACAGCTAGTGCTAAACATACTCTTTATCTGTTCATGATCCTCACAGATAACTATAACTGACCAACTAAAAGACAATGAAATCTCACTCACTAATACAATCAACCGCAAGTCAACATGGCTTTTTGTACCCTTCCTCCACTGCTATATCTGCAAAATCTCACTCTGTGAAACTCATCATTGCAGTGAAGTCAAGCCCCCTTATAAATCTTCTGAGAATACAATTCTTCAAAGGCATCTGACTATAAGGAATCCTCCCTTACTTCACCACACCTGCTTTAGGTTGTAAACCATATGGAGTATATTATACTTATACTAACTATTCTTCAATAACTTCAGAGGACAATTCTAAATTTTTAATGCAGCCTGTAATGCACATGTTTTGAAATAAGGTTTTCTCAGCAATTCTTGTTTCTTCACTGGCTCAAGGCAGCTAAAATGAGCTTTTGTAGATCACTTCTAATCTAAATCCTAGTTTTTTGTAGAAAATTCTTGGGCAACAGGTAGCATTTATAATCTTAGTAAATGACACTCCACTCCTGTTATGGCACAGTGTTTATATTAAAGTGGGTGTTTTTCTGTCCTATAACAACTACCAGCAGGACTCATTCTCTAATATGCAACAGTTGTTTAAAAACCTGGGCCACTGGGCAGCCTTGGGTGCCAGGGGCGTGATCCTGGACACCCGGGATCGAGTCCCATGTCGGGTTCCCTGCATGGAGCCAGCTTCTCCCTCTGCCTGTGTCTCTATCTCCGTCTCTCATAAATAAAAAATAAAATCCTTAAGAAAAAAAAACCTGGGCCATTTTGGGCAGCCTGGATGGCCCAGTGGTTAAGCGTCTGCCTTCGGCTCAGGGCCTGATCCTGGAATCCCGGGATTGAGTCCCACATCGGGCTTTCTGCATGGAGCCTGCTTCTCCCTCTGCCTGTGTCTCTGCCTCTCTCTGTGTGTCTCTCATGAATAAATGAATAAAATCTTAAAAATGAAATAACCTGGGCCATTCAAGATTAGGACATTTCAGATAATTTTTCTTCACACGGAATATCTTTTAAGTTAATAATGTTGATTCTCAGAAAGTAAAACTAATGAGAAGGAAAATAATTCTTGAAAACACTGGGTTAGTTTTCAGATGATGAAAGACAAAAAATAATAATAAATGAATAATTGGTGTTCAGAAGAAACTCTGGGGGAAAAAAATGCTATATCCTTCCTCTTATCCAATTCATTAAACATAAGATAATGGTACTCCTGGCCTCACTATCTTAAAGTAGTACAATATTCTGTGAATTGTAAGTCTTACATAAAGCATCTAAACATATAGGATCCTACATTCTGAACCCAGATTAGGGAAAAAGTGTTTGCAGAGGTGAAAATCTAGATTCCAGTAGAATTTTCCCAACACAAAGATAAGACTCAGAGAGTGTACAAAACAATACATATCAAACACACAAATTTCTATATCTTGCAGTTACTGATATTTTTTTGCTTTTGGCTGGGTTTTGTTGTTATTGTTATGGTAAACAAGTAAATAAGTAACTTTCTATTATCAATAATGTTAAGTGTGAAAAAAAAAAAAACCTCAAAACTAACCAGGATAGGAAATTATAACAAAGCAGATTTTCAATTTTAAGCTAACAATTTTTTTTTTAAAGATTTCATTTATTTATTCATGAGAGACACAGAGAGAGACAGAGGCAGAGGGAGAAGGAGGCTCCATGCAGGGAGCCCGACGTGGGGCTTGATCCCGGGTCTCCAGGATCAGGCCCTGGGCCAAGGGGCAGCGCTAAACCGCTGAGTCACCCGGGCTGCCCTAAACTAACAATTTTTATATAAAACAGCCATCTCCTAGTGAAAGAGAAAAGTGTTAGCAATTTTTTAAAGCTAAACGTTTTTACATGGGAGTAACAAGGAAGTACTGACATAAAACAAATATAAGACTTTAGAAATCTAAGAAAGAAAACCACCACCATTCTAATCTTGCATCATGTTCCAAAACAGCAGAAAAATATGATAATCCGGGATCCCTGGGTGGCGCAGCGGTTTGGCGCCTGCCTTTGGCCCAGGGCGCGATCCTGGAGACCCGGGATCGAATCCCATATCGGGCTCCCGGTGCATGGAGCCTGCTTCTCACTCTGCCTGTGTCTCTGCCTCTCTCTCTCTCTCTCTGTGACTATCGTAAAATAAAAATAAAAAAAAAAAATTAAATAGACTTTAAAAAAAAAAAAATATGATAATCCAAGCTGAAATATTTAAGCAATGTCAGTGCTCACTTTCTTACTATCCAATCCCAATAACTGAGGCTTACTGGTAAAAAGTAAAATATAAAAAAGTTATGTGATAAGACTGAGAATAAGATCATTATTACATGTGAACATACATTTAAATTTTAGTATATTCAGCTATCAAAATCTATGGAAGAGAAATAAATTTAAAATCCAAATATTTTAAACAGATTTAAAAGCACTGTTTTCTATTCCTTTTATCCACAAAGAATATATAGTAATCATGAACCCATATGATGCAGAAAACATTCTGAGATTTTGCTACAATGCTTCATGCTGCCAATTATGCAGAGTGGAAAATTTTTCATGAATTCAAAGTTTTCAAAATAAATACATGCAACTTAAAGTCCTCATGGCTGAATTTACCGTCTTGTGACCATTCTGGCAGGCGACATGCAGTGCTGTCTGCCCCATCGCATCCTCAACGTCGACGTCACTGACGTGCTGCACAAGGTCATGGAGTAGTTCTGTCCGCCCATTCACTGCGAGCCAGTGTATCTGTACAGCCATTTAGTTACTTAACATTGTGTTTCATAAAGACAGCAGATAAATAATGCTATTATTTCTCAAATGTGAGCATAGTACACATACTAAAGATTAAAATAAAAGCCCATATATTTCCTGTATTTTTCCTTTTTTTTTTTAATGGGGAAAAATATGCATCAAGATGTAGGTTATACCACCATGTACTTCAAAATCAAGCATTTCATGGATCATTACAGTTAAATATCCTAGACTTAGGACCACCAAATACTCCACTTCCTAGATGATTCTGGACTCTATGCATAGTTTGTCTCTAAAGGAAAGGTACTGGATACATTTCCTTCCCCAGAAACAAACATGAGTAAAAAAAGGTAATTAATACAATAGACATATTCTTTAATTCCTGTATTTTCCAAGTAACTCATGTATCATACATAAGTAATAATATAAAAGGAGAATAAAACATCTTAACTCTACCACTCAAAGATAATCAATGTTAAAACTTTGGACTATGCTATCCATGCATTTTTCAATTGACTTTTTTTCCATCAAAAAATACATCATGAAATTTGTTTTAGGATGGCAGCTTAAACACATGCATCAACTTCTGATTCTACCCCCAAACACCACAATGAAGAATACTTTTTCTTAAAAGAACAGACCCATTACAATAAAGAAAAAAAGAGACTATAATAGCAACAAGTTTTACAAGATAAAAGCTTTTGTCTGAATTGTCAGAACAGAAAGCTGAATCCTAAACTAGTAAGGTGATTCAGATCTCTGAAATCCTAAAACGCTCAAGAATCAGTGCACCTTGCATCTCTTGAAGTAGAGATGAACTAGTGGATTTAGACCCTTAAATCCCCAACCCTCCTCAATTCTTCCAGGCCAATGACTGCCCCTTCCCAATCTGAGAGACTACAAGAGGCTTGAAAACAATCTTTAGATAAGTGACACCAGGCACAATGAAGCAAGAATATCATATTGAAAAGGGAGATGAGGGGCATCTAGGTAGCTCAGTCAGTCAAGCGTCTGCTTTTAGCTCAGGTCATGATCGCAGGGTCCTGGGATCAAGCCCCACACTGGGCTCCCTGCTCAACAAGGAGCCTGCTTCTCCTTCTCGCTCTGCTTGCTGCTTTGCCTGCTTGTGCTCACTCACTCTGTCAAATAAATAAATAAAATATTTTTTAAAAAAATTAAAAAGGGAGATGAAGTGCAAGTTTATATATGATACTGAAATCCCAAACCGTTCTCCTCTACCTAGCATCCAGGATGCTAACACCCTCCTGGCAATTGTTAGAGCTTTCTCTGAGGAATCCAACCAGCTTGAGAATAAATGCCTGAAGAAACCGATATCAGGAAGGATCCTAAAGGCAATTGCCCAAGCAGATCACCCTACACTGAAGCCCATGATGAATAATCTTATTCATTCAAACAGAGCTTTCAAATAGCTTTTCCTAATTCCACCAAACATTTGACAAATGCATCTAGTCTGAAAGACCAAACAACAGCAACAACAAAAAGCAAATAGCAGAGAAGAAAAGGAACCATGAATATTCAAGAAAAAAGTTTCAAAAGAAAAAGCTATATATTGAATACTCTCAGAGAGAAAACATACAGACTGCATCCTTCAAACAAGAACAGGATATTATTTTTTAAAAAGACAATGAAAAACAAACTCCTGGAAATTAATACTGTGATAGAGACATGCAAACTCAAAAGAAGATTTAGAAGATAATATTGAGGAAGCCTTCCAGGAAGCACAAAAAAGACAAAGAAATGGAGAAGAGCAAGAGAAAAGGTGAGAAAATCAAAAGGTTAGCCCAACAGGTCCAATATCCAAATGAATGATTACATAATCAGACTCAAAACTCAAGTAATGCAAGTATCAACACAAGAATCAATACAAAGTATCAACAAATTTTCCTCCCATTAACTCTTTCTCAGTTAACTATTGGAAATGTGCTCCAGCAAAGTGACAGAATAGTTATCTACAAAGACAGACACAGAATCCACATAAAAAAGAACCCAAAACAAGAGAAAGGCAAAAGAAATCTCTAGGATGATGGTGAAGAGACATTCCAAACAACTGTGAAGGAGCCTACAAATCACCCAATCCATCTTAGAGAGGACAGAAGTCTCCATTAAAAGAGTCCTTCAAAATTAATCAAGAAGATGAAAGACAGTGAATATTTATCATGAGGATATAAACAAAGCTCAGAGAGAGCTTAGTAGAGAGCTTAGCTTAGAAAAGTTTTTTTTTTTAATTTTTAAGCTGCAGTTAACATAGAAACTGGAAAAGACGAAATTATCTCTACTTGATGACATGACTGTCTACATAGAAAACCCTAAGCAATCTACAAAAAAATTCCTAGAACTAATAAAAAGTAAGCTCAAGAAGGTCATAAGAATACATGATCAATACACAAAGAAAGGAATCCCATTTCTACATACTATCAGTGAACATGCAGAAACTGAAATTAAAAACATAGTATCATTTAGTATTGCTCCAAAGAAAATGAAACTTAGCTATACATATAAAACATGCACAGATCTCTATGAACAGTACAAGATGTAAAATTTCATTTATAAAAAGAAATCAAAGACCTAAATAAGTGGGGAGACATACTGTATTTACAGTAGTGAAGTCTATTCTCCTTAAACTGATCTATAGGTTTAATACAATTTCAGTAAATATCCAGCAAGGTTTGTTTGTCATAGTCAAGTTTATTCCATAAATTAGTTTATTCTATCTATAAAGTTCTGACAAAGAAAAAAAAAATTTCTGACAAAGAAACCAGAAGAGCTAGCACAATCCTGACATAGAAAAATAAAGTGGGAGGAATTACTCAACCACATACTAAGGCTTACTATTTAGTATATCTACACTAATCAAGACAGTGTGGTATAGGCAAAAGCCAGTGAAACAGAAATAAGAACCCATAAAAAGGTCCATATAAATATTCCCAATAGATTTTTGAGAAAGATGTGAAACCAATTTCATACAGAAAGGATAGTTTTTTTTTTTTTTAAGGATAGTCTTTTTAACAAACAGTGCTCAAGTAATTGGACTTGATGAGAAAAAAAAAATGAACCTGAAGCATCACATCTTACACAAATATTAGGTCACACAAATATTAGCTCAAAATAGATCATAGATTTAGATGTGAAATATAAGATTATAAAAATTTTGAGAAAATATTTGGAAAAAAATCTTTAAGATCTAGAGTTAGGCAGAGTTCTTAAATCTGATACCAAAAGCATAATCCACAAAAAGAAAAACTCGTATATTGGCCTTCATCAAAACTGAAACTTTTATACAGAAGATCCTGTTAAGAATTAAAAAGGCAAGCTAGAGAAAGTATTTGCACATCACATACCTTACAAAGGACTTCTATCTTCAGTATATAAAGAATCCCCACAGTTAAAAGTTAAAAGTAATCCAATTAAAAAATGGGCAAATGACATGAACCAACATTTCACATAGAAAGATACACAGATAGCAAAATTACTCAAAGAACACAAAAATACTAATTCAAAGAGATATGTGCATCCCAATGTTTATAGCAGCATTATCACAACAGCCAAACTATGGAAACAGCCCAAAAACCTGTACACTAATGTTTACATTTATAGCAGCTTTATTCAAGATAGCCCCAAACAGGAAATGACCCAAAGGTCCTTCAACAGGTAAACAGTTAAACAGTCACATCTACACCAAGGAATATCAGTCAGCAATATAAAGGAACAAACGACTGATACATGCAACAACCTAGGCCAATTTCCACAAAATATGAGGAACATACAAAAGCTAATCCTAAAAGGTTCCATACAATATCATTCTATTTACAGGACATTCTTAAAAAAGACATAATTTTAGAAATGGAGAATAGATTAGTTGGCTGCCAATGGTTAGGCATGCAGTGAAGAGGAGGAAAGGTGTGGTTACAAAAGAAGAGCAACACAAAAACATCTTTGCAGAGTTGGAAATGTTCAGAATATTGACTGTGGTAGTGGAGACATGGACCTACACAGGTAATAATACTGTACAGAACTTACTATACAGACACGCACACAAATAAAACCAGGTACAAATGAACAAGTAGAGGCGCCTGGGTGGCTCAGTCTATTAAGCGTCCGCCTCTGGCTCAGGTCATGATCTCAGGGTCCTGGGATCGAGGCCAGCGTCAGGCTTCCTGCTCAGTAGGGAGTCTGTCTCTCCCCCTCTCCATCTGTCTCTCCCTAGCTCGTGCTCTCTCTCCTCTCAAATACATAAAATCTTTAAAAATAAATAAATAGAAATAAACAAATAAAACTGGGGAAATCAGAACAAGACAAATTATAAATATCCTAGTCACGATATTATACTATCATTCTGTATAATGTTACCATTGAAGGAAATTGGGTAATATATATACAGGGCATTCCTCTGTATTCTTACAGGTATAAATGAATGTACAATAGTCTCAACTTTTTTTAGAATGTAATTATTAACTACATGAAAAATGCTATGTAAAGGAAAGTAACTATAGCAAACTACTTGGCCTATGAATAGTATGTATATAAACAAAAAATTAAAATACTGAAACATGATCTAATTAAAATTACAATTATATTTTTGGAAAGGTGTGAGGGAAATGTGCTTGTACATGATGGGATAAGGGGAAATGGAGCTGAAAAAGAGAGCAAATAACCTTATCTTCCATAAAGTCAACTGGTGATGCCTAAAACTGAAAAATCAAAAAATAATAGTAGCATGTTATTTAGATGTGAGGAAACAAAATTTTTACATACATTAAAATAGCTGAGAAGAGCTAATACAGAGTTAGAAGTTTATAGAGCCTGGGGAGCAAAGTCAAGAGAGTATTTCCTTTTCTGGGGGGAGTGTAACAATATAGATGTGTATTTATCTGAGGTATAACGTCATACAATTCACATCCCATACAATCCATCTATTTAAAGTACACACCTTAGTGGGTTTTGGTATATTCACAGTTGTCAATCATCTCCACAATCAATTATAGGACATTTTCATTTCCCCAGAAAGAAACCCAGTACCATTAGCAGTCACTGTCTATTTCCTCCCTTGTCCTGATACATGTCTCACCCTGATTTTGCAAATGGGTAAAATAAATTAACAACACCTTTAATATGTTTAACTGATTTTTGTTTTTGCTTTGTTCTTGTAAACCTGTTAGAGGCAATGAATTCTCTGACAGTAGTGGGTGGATGATAGAGGTAGCATAATCAAATATCCCATCACTCCTATTGCTTCACTTTTTTATAATTTTGCTGGGTTCAAAACAAACCAACTTAAGTCTAATTACCTCGCCCCTAACAGCAGTATGTACAAGGCAAGGCAAAGTCTACAAAATCCTGCCATGATTTTATGGTTTATGATGCTGAATGACAGAGCCTTGCAGACACCAATCCTTTGGCTTGTTCTTTTATTTGCCACTATCCCAGGCCATCCTTGACAATGTGCCTTAATAATATTCAGGATGGATGAGCATAAAATGTACTTTATTTAAAAAGTACTAGGACAGTGATTTTGAAGGTGAAGGTGGAAAGGGCAGGCTCTCTACTGCAGGATGTTCTTGAACATATCATCTGAGGAAAAAGCACATATAGAAGCTAAAGATCTGGAAACTGATCCCCATAACTATTCATGCCAAAGATCTTTGGGAAGTCTCCATGAATCCCAAGGTACCTGAACACCAGTTAAGCTCACCACTCTAATGTAACACACTCTCTTTCATCTCCAAGCCTTCACAAAATCTATTCTGTAGAGCCAAAATTCTCTTCCTCACCTCCTCTCCCAAGCCTACTACCACCACTTTCACCAGTCTAACTTCTGTTTGTCTTTCTGGCCTCAACTCATGTGATATGTCCCTGGGATACCACTTCCAATGCCCTAGGTGAGGATGTGAGCCCTGCAAGGACTTCCATAGCATCTCCTTCTCCTATCTTGATATTCATTACAGTATTACCACTGCCTGGTAATTTTCCAGTCTTCTAAAGAAAAATAAGATAAAAACATGGAGGGAGGCATATCATAAAAAACTCTTAATAGTAAAGAACAAACAAGAGGGTTACATGGGAGGATTGTCTAAATGGATGACGGGCTTTAAGGAGGGAACTTTTTTTGTAGGGGGCGCAGTAGGCAAAGGAGAGGAAGAAGCAGGCTCCCTGCTCAGGGATCCCATGGGATCATGACCTGAGCTGAAGGCAGATGCTCAACCAACTGAGCCACCCAAGAGCCCCTGAGGAAGGCACTTGTGATGAGCACTGGATGTTGTATGTAAGCAATGAATCACTAAGTTCTACTCCTGAAACCAATATCACATGAGATGTTAACTTGAACTTAAATAAAAACTTGGAAGGAAAAAAACAAACAAACTTTCCTGGAAGGAACAAACAAAATTCCTTAGAATTTTGGGGACAACAAGGACCAATCAGTCATATTCATGGCTCTATCCCACAACAACAAAGTGCTTAACACATAGTAGGTATTCAAGAAATTCCTGTTGAAAGAACAAATGAAGGAAGAAATATGAGGAGTCCTTTGTGAGGATAAGCAGCCTAGAATGCATGCAGTCAACAGTTCTCTCCTTTTGTAAGAAAAATCCTGGGGCTCCTGGCTCCTCACTCAAGGTTTCCTCCAACTCAGGAGCCAGTGGCTTTACTGTCCCACGTGTTTGGTGGCAATTACTCAGTTCTTCAGCAACACATTTTCACCATCCCACCTTCCTTCAGCTGATGGGGTCAATGGGCTCAGCTGCTGAATTAATCCCATCATGGTGGTCTGGGAGCAGGTGGAATCATGCTTTGTGGACACAACAGTTTTCAAGAGCAGGAGACACACTATACCAGTCAGGGCCATAGGAGAAAACACCAAGGTTGGTCCCAGGCAGAAAGAGTATAGAGACTATTTTTCTCTAACAAGCGTTGTAGAATATCTTGACTCTTTAAATATGTGCATTAATATTTTAGGTAAAAATTTGATTTTTAAAACTTTTCTACTCTACTTCCCTTAAAATTCAGGAGTGAAAGAGAAATTAGCAGATAAAAATGTATGTGGTTAAACAAATTATGTTAATATTGAACATCTTATCTTGCCTATACTAAAGAGTGTCCTAAGGACAGGTCTATGTAAATTCCAGTTTTATAATCCTCAGCAGTAGCTAAGCATATCAAGACTATAGTTTTTCTTTTTAGAGTCAGTGGCATTATCTTGTTAATTATATAACAAAATCTAGACTATCACAGGAATTGTGGATTCCAAATAATTATCATGACTGAGCTTATTCTTTATCTTTAGAAAGAATAAAGCAAATCTTAGGGAAGCTGTTTTTTAATGCTCTACCACCCTCTACCTTCCAAATGTTTTTAACAGAAAATCCTGAAAACTGACATGGTCTGTAAATAATACTCTTCTTTATCTACAAATTAAATGATTCAGAATCTATAAATACTACCAAAAAAGGTAAAAAAAAAAATTTTTTTTTCAAATCAAGAAACCAACTCAACTACAGAGAACACACTGATGGCTACCAAAGGGAATGAAGCTGGGGGGTGATGGGTGAAATAGATGAAGGAGATTAAGAGTACACTTATCATGATGAGCAATGAATAATGTATAGAATTGCAGAATTACTATAGAGTACACTTGAAACTAAGAAACACTGTATGCTAACTATACTGGAGTTAAAATTAAAAACTTAAAAAATTTTTTCAGGGATCCCTGGGTGGCGCAGTGGTTTGGCGCCTGCCTTTGGCCCAGGGCGCGATCCTGGAGACCCGGGATCGGATCCCATATCGGGCTCCCGGTGCATGGAGCCTGCTTCTCCCTCTGCCTGTGTCTCTGCCTCTCTCTCTCTCACTGTGTGCCTAACATAAATTAAAAAAAAAAAAAAAATTTTTCAGCTTGAGTTATAACTGACAAAATTGTAGAATATTTGAAGTATACAACATACTGATAGACACTGGAAAAGGATTCTCATCATCCACTCAATACATACCTCACCTCACAAACAGGAAGGTAGAAGTTAATATATAAAATTTGACATTCATTACAACTTCAAAACAATTTCTCAATAATCACAATTTATCTCTACTTCTAAAATGAATAATGCTCCATTAAATAATGACAATGATTAAAGTTTTTAGATTTCATGTACAGAACTGATGAATCACTATATTGTACATCAGAAACTGAAATAACACTATATATTAACTATACTAGAATTAAAATAAAAATAAACCAAACCAAACAAAAAATAATAAATAAATTTTTTAAAATGTGTGGATTTTAACAATCTTTTCAGAAAGGTCCCACACCACCTCCAAATAACATCTATATGGATCAAAAATATATTAACTTATTTTTGAACAAAAAGTGACACAGCAAAATGGATAAAAATACTAGGTTAGGTGAGATACAAGTCTGAAGGATACAGACCAAAATATTAACAGTGATTATCTCTGAGTGCAGAAGATACAGTGAGTGATCATTCCATTCATTACTTTTCCTTTCTGCCTAGCCATCCAATTTTCCTAAAATGTAACTATTAAAATAATTTTAAAGAATGTAATAAAAAATAGCTCTCCTTTAATGAACTCATAACACAGCAGAAATGCTCCTTAAAAATCCCCTGAAAGTCAGTGACAAAAGCTAGAGGAATAAGTCCTCAAAATAAATGAAAGGTCACAAACAAAAAAGAGAAAGGAAAAACACAGTGAAACCATAACTTCTCTTAATACAGCAGAGAACTATGCCCCAAATCTTTCTGCACAAAGAAGTAACTAGCAGAAACACTTGTACTGCCCTTTGCATTACTTCACCTTCAATATTATTTTCTAAGAAGTATTTTAAAACTCTCAAAGTCTTAGCACTTACTGCTGTAAGGCCTTCATTATTACAAATGTTGACATCAGCACTGTATTCTAATAATTTACTCATGCATTTCTTCTGCCTGAAAAGAAAAGAGACACAGATAACCGGTATGAGAAAAATAAGCAAATGACAATTATTTTACTGAAATACTGACTACAATCAACATTAGTTGCTGGCAAGTGTCCATCTGTAGGTTTTTAAACAAATGCTATAACATTTGAAATAAGATGAAAAATCATTTCTATAATTCAAAATAACAGGATAAAGAAAAGGTACAATGAGAGGTTTTCATGTCATTAAGACAAATTCATCATTCAAAATGCCAAGAAATTTCTAGTGTTGACTAAATACTTGAAATAGTAATCTTCCTTAGAAATATAAGACATGGGGCAGCCTGGGTGGCTCAGCAATTGAGCGCCGCCTTCAGCCCAGAGCAAGATCCTGGAGACCAGGGATCAGTCCCACATCGGGCTCCCTGCATGGAGCCTGCTTCTCCCTCTGCCTGTCTCTCTGCCTCTCTCTATCTCATGAATAAATAAAATCTTATAAAAAAAAAAAGAAAGAAATATAAAACATGGAACGCCTGGGTGGCTCAGCGGTAGAGCGCCTGCCTTGGGCCCAGGGTGTGATCCTGGAGTCCCGGGATCAAGTCTCACGTCAGGCTCCCTGCATGGAGCCTGCTTCTCTCTCTGCCTATGTCTCTCCCTGCCTTTCTCTCTCTCTCTCTCTGTCATGAGTAAATAAATAAAATTAAAAAAAAAGAAATATAAGACAATGTAAGTCAGGTGGAAGGGGAATGGATATAGCAAAATGTCTCAGTGCTGTAGTATCCTACATTCTTGATTGCAAAATACTTAAAAATTAATACTTAGATGAGTCGTAAAAACATAACTATAGAATTAATGAAGTGCATGTCTACCATCCTCCTACCCTATTTCATTTCTCTTTTTGATAATTTTTACTGCAGTAAAATACACAGAACATAAAATTTGTCATTTTAACCATTTTCAAGTGTACAGTTCAGTGGTATTAAGTACATTCATATTACTGTGCAAGCATTACCATCATCCATCCATAAAACTCTTTTCATCTTGCAAAACTGAAACTCTATACCCATTAAACAGTAATTTGCAATTTCCTCTCCCCTTGGCTTCTGGCAACCACCATTCTACTTTCTGTCTCTACAATTTATCTAAGTACCTCACAAAATTGGAATCTTACAGTGTTTATCCTTTTGTGATTGGCTTATTTCACTTAGCATAATGTCCTCAAGGTTCATCCATGTTGTAGCATACATCAGAATTTCCTTCCTTAAGGCTGAATAATATTCCATTATATATATATATATATATACATACCATTTTGCTTATCTATTCATATATCAATGGACACTTCTATTGCTTGTTTTAGTTATTGTGAATAATGCTGCTATGAATAAGGGTGTACAAATATTTCTTCAAGACCCTCCTTTCAATTTTATTGGGTATACACCAAGAAGGGGGATTGCTGGATCATACATTAATTCTATTTTCAATTTTTTGATGACCCATCAAAAATTGTTTTTCAGTGTACCATTTTACACTCCCACCAACAATGTGGAAGGGCTCCATTTTCTCTACATCCTTGCCAACACTTGTCGTTTTCTTCTACTTTTTGATAATACTAAAAAAAAAAAAAAAAGATAACCATACTAATGAGTGTGTGTTGGTATCTTGTTGTAGTTCTGATTTGCGTTTCCCTAATGATTATTTATATTGAGCATCTATTCATGTTCATATTGGCTATTTGTACATCATCTTTGGAGTAGTCTGTTCAAGTCCTTTGACTCCTTGTGAATTGCCTATCCATTTCATTGTGCTCACAATGTTTCCTTTTACGCTGATCCATTCCTACTCACTATTCAATATTCATTTCAATGTCTGCTTCATTAAATAATGAAAAATCATGCTTCAAAAACTGCAAGTGATACACACTATACATATATTTATGATATACATTTTACACACACACACACATATATACTTGACTATACTCAGTACTAAATTAAGGAAGCAAGATATAATCCATGGCATGAAGAAGTTCGTGATTTGGCTGAGTAAACAGTTATAAGTATAAAAAACATGTAACAGTGTATATGTAATAACAAATTATGTACTGTGTGGTACATATAGTATATATACAGTATTAATATACGGGCATACTACATATATAGTACTGTATATAACATATACAAGAATAGATAGCATATATTACTATTTACTCAATTAGATCACAAAATTCTTCATGCCATGAATTGTGTATTTCTTTAATAAACTCAGTACTGAGCATAGTTAGCTGCTCTCAATAAAACTTTATTGACTATTAATTATTCTATTTTTTAAGTTAACAGCTAAAATTTTTAATAACTGAATAAATCTTTTTAAAAGAGAACAAATTACTTTTCTAGCTTTGGGTTTTGTATCCGAAATGAAATTAAACATCATCTAAAATCAGCATAATAAGAAAAGAAAGAAAAAGTTCTGAGTAAACATTTACAAAGCTTATCTAATACACTGTTCTGAAAACTTTAGAATATAAACCTTCAATAATCCTGAGACAACAGACCAGACAGCCCTATTAAAATGAATACATTGTTTAAGATATGTATGTGTGTGCCTTTATCCGTATTGCTGGATTTCAAAAACCTCTTTAAAAGCTGTCTTAGGCCACTGGCCTATTGCCAAAATAAACACTCCGTTGGGAATGCGCCAAGGAATAGTCCTAGAGGGGTACTTGGGGAGGTTGCTGAGGTAAAGCAACAATCTGTAATGCTCCTCATCCCAAAAATGAACTGCAAAAGACAGTGGTATGAGAGAAATATATCGTTTTTTATCATTTAACAATCATTATTGCTACTCTTTCAAAATTTTATTTATTTGACAGAGGGAGAAAGAGAGAGAGCACCAGTAGGCAGAGTGGCAGGCAGAAGCAAAGGGAGAGGGAGAAAGCAGGCTCCCCACTGAGCAGAGAACCCAACACAGCGCTCGAGCCCAAGACCCTGGGATCATGACCTGGGCTGAAGGCAGATGCTTAACCGACGGAGCCACCCAGGCGCCCCACATTATTGCTACTTTAGAGAATCTCACTCTGTCAAAACAATCTAAATGGGCACTATTTTGCCAAGATTTAGAGCTAAAATATTAACACATGGGCTCCACCCTTTATGAGGTCACAATCTAGCCCAAAAAAATAAAGAAAAAAATCATGTTTCAAATTTGACCAACATGCAGCCAGCCTAAGAATACATAACAATTGTAAAGTCTTCTCTTCTAACAATCTCATTTAATCATGAGAAACACTAGATCCTCCTGTACAGGAAGCAACTATTTTCCTGCCCAGATATTGCAACAATTATAGGAAGCTTATGGTAACCCAAATGACACAGGAGCAAATCATCCTAGTGCTCTGTGGTAGCTTAATGGGTCTTCTACTGGAAAGGAGGGCAATTCAGTACCAATGCAACCCAGCACTAATGGTTAGAGAGAGGAATGCTAAAGCAGGCCAAGAGAATTACACTACTCATCTAACAATAACTGAGGAACAAAAAACTACCAAAAACTCATGGACAAGCAAAAGGGGCAGAACTCCCCCTATGACTTTTGCTTCCCTCTAGACAAATCTGAACTCATAAAAAATTAAAATAAAAAGCTACTTCTGAAAACATCAGAAGCTACAGGAAGTAATATGTACTCAAAACCACTCAGCAAACATTTATGGAGCAACTCTAAGTTGTACAAGGCACCCAATAATAAAAACTAAAATAGTCAAGTATTGAATATCAATATTAATCTTTACAGAAACAGAAAGGTATCCAAATTGGATGTTATGTTAGAGTTACAAACTCTTTTTATTCCTTTTCTCTTCATTGACTTACCATGTGATCAAGTGATTTCGGTCATATTTCTTCATCTTTAAATGTAACGGTCTCCAACTTAAACATTCTCACATCCCCCACCCAAAGAAAGATAAATGTGTAAGGTGACAGTGATGGATAGCAAATGAAAGGAATCCTTTCACAATGTATATAGGTCTATCAAATCATAATGATGTACACTTTAAAAATCTTACAATTTTGTTGGTTTACCTCAACAAAGCTACGAAAAAAAAAAAAGTTATGATCTCCTAAATGACTTAAGTCTCTGACCAAAATGGCAGTAGGCATTTTACCCCAGCTGTACACTGATCCCTCCTTTCACTTATAGTTGCTGAGATAGAGTACTAAGGTATTTTTCTATGTGTAATTTTTTGAAAAAGCTTTGTCACTATCCTACCAATACTTGGGATAATGTATCCAGATTGGAGATCAATTCAGAAAGGAAGGGAATTCGACCAAATCTAGGACTTTGGGTATAACACCCTACAAACATAACCAGTGTGCTCATTATTATAAAAAAGTTGTTTAATCAGCATGTTGTTACCTTGTTACCTATCAGAACAGTTCACATGCTAAATCAAGAACTGGATCAGACCAGACAGGGTCAAAGGAGTATGCCTTCCTCTTTCCAACCTAGATATCACTAGGATTCTTATGCTTTTGGCTCCACTTTAATCCTTTTATGCAAAAATTTGGTCTCAGAATGACACAGTGCACAATTTTAGCCCCATAACTATCTCAGGTAGGCATCTATCTCAACTACCTAGAATTCTGTTCTGTGAACAGAACAGTTCACATGCTAAATCAAGAACTGGATCAGACCAGTCAGGGTCAAAGGAGTATGCCTTCCTCTGTCCAACCTAGATATCACTAGGATTCTTATGCTTTTGGCTCCACTTTAATCCTCTTATGCAAAAATTTGGTCTCAGAATGACACAGTGCACAATTTTAGCCCCATAACTATCTCAGGTAGGCATCTATCTCAACTACCTAGAATTCCAAGTCAAACAGGAAACAAAAGTATCTTCAAAAGTAATAAAAAAAAAAGGGGGGGGGGTCGCCTGGGTGGCTCAGTTGGTTAAGTGTGTGCCTTCAGCTCAGGTCATGTTCTCAGGGTCCTGGGATTGAGCCTCATATCTGGCTTCCTGTACAGCAGGGAGTCTGCTTTTCCCATTCCCTCTGGCATGCTGCCCCCCTCCCCCAGCTCATGTACACACACACACCCTCTCCCTCAAATAAATAAAATCTTAAAAAAGAGTAATCAAAAAAGAGACACATGGGAATCAACTAAATAAATAAAATCTTAAAAAGAGTAATTCAAAAAAGAGACACATAGGAATATACCTTTTTTTTGAGGGGGGGGGGTAGAGGCAAAGGAAGAGGGAGAAAGCGAATCTTAAGCACAGGCAAAGGAAGAGGGAGAAAGCGAATCTTAAGCACACTCCATGCCCAGCACAGAGCATGACACAGCCCTGGATCTCAACCCTGAGACCATGACCTGAGCCAAAATCAAGAGTTGGAAGCTTAACCAACTGAGCCACCCAGGTACCCCAGGAATATGCTTCTATATGGAAGTTTTATAAGCATTTGAAACATATTTATAAATATAAGTTCTTCAAGCCCTGAGTCAAAAACTATTTTTTCATTTTAAACAGAATTCCAGCAATTTGGTATGGTTTCTCAGTCCAACAGAATTTTTTTTAATATGTATTTATTTGAGAGAGAAAGAGAGAGCACATGAGCGCAAGAGCAGGGGGAGGTACAGAGGGGGAAAAAGAGAGAATCTCAAGCAGACTCCCCACTGAGCTCAGAGCCCAATGTGGGGCTCAAAACCAGGACTCTGTGATCACAATCTGAGCTGAAATCAAGAGTCAAGATGCTTAACCGACTGAGCCACCCAGGCGCCCCTCAGTTCAACGGAATCTTAAGACATAAAAATAGTGGTAAGTAGAGGCAGACACAGAGATGTAACATCTGAAATTCTCAAAAAAAAAAAAAAAAGGGAGAAAGAAAGTCTTAAGAAGTGTAGTAGGGTATAAAATAGCATACAATGGGGGTGCCTGGGAGGTTCAGTAGGTTAAACATCTGATTCTTGGTTTCGGCTCAGGTCAACATCTCAGGCTCCTGAGACAGAGCCCCATGTCATCGGGCCCCATGTTCAACAGGAAATCTGCTTGAGATTCTCTCCCTCTGCCCCTGCCTGCCACTCTCTCAAGCGCTCTTTCTTTCTCTCTCAAATGAATAAATCTTAAAAAAAAAAAACAGCAAACAATAACATGAAGATGTTCATAAAGATGACCAGAGCAATCAAAAAAAAGGCAAAAATATATTTACATTTTGGAAATACTTTTATAAGGGGGAAAAAATTTTTTTTTTTTTTAAAATGTTTTTGTTTTTTTTTAAGATTTTTTTTATTTTTATTTATTTATGATAGGCACACAGTGAGAGAGAGAGAGGCAGAGACACAGGCAGAGGGAGAAGCAGGCTCCATGCACCGGGAGCCCGACGTGGGATTCGATCCCGGGTCTCCAGGATCGCGCCCTGGGCCAAAGGCAGGCGCCAAACCGCTGCGCCACCCAGGGATCCCAGGGGGAAAAAATTTACTAAGAAAATTCAAAAGGAAGGGTAGTAAACAAATTATTTATTTAGAAAACCTCATGTCATAATTAAAAGGAAAAATAAGTTTTGGCACTGAAAGGAGTAAGCTACTCTTATTTAGAAAGCTTACTATAGTATAGCTCATTCTCAAAGTCATAAATAAGCTGGGTATAATATATTCACTGTCTTTAATTCCATTAATAAAGTTAACTGAAAAGCAATGTGGAAAATAAGACCAGGAATTAGATGAGGAAAAAAAAATGAGCAGGAAAAAGAACACCAAAACAAAGAGGTAACAATGATACTTCTCAGAAAAAAAGTATCATTATGATACAAGTAAAACAAACTTAAACAAGTATATTTTCAAGAAAAAAATATTAGTAAACAATTAAATAAATATGACAATTATTTCAAAATTGAATGTAATGACCCACAAATTTCTTCCCAAGGCAAATATTGGTCAAAAAAATCACCAATCAAGAGTGCCTTGAATACCGTCAGTCATCACTGATACTACAACTTAAGCTACTCAAGAAGACAAAATATTTACCCATTTCTAGCTGCCAAATGAAGGGGTGTACATCCTGAAATATCTTGATAGTTAGGATTTGCTCCTTTCTTTAATAGCAGGACCAAGCATTCCACCGATCCACAACTAAAACAATATTAAAAACAGTTTACATACATTCAACAAACAGCCACAGTTGAAATACCTTAATTAAAAAAAACAAAAAAGCTCTACTAAACATATTATTTTTGAGGTCCATTATTAATCTACAATTTGATTTAACTTCTGTCACAAATAGCATATTCCAAAAAAAAAAAAAAATAGCATATTCCTCTACTTTCAAGAAGGTACATTCTACTATGAAAGCTATGAAGTATTTGAGATGTTCATATAAAGTATTAATACATAAAGAAACCACATAGTACTCTCAATCCTTTGGCTTTACAGAAGCCAAATTTATTATGAAAAATTAATTTTAACATATATCTAAATCCTGAAAGGAAGTTAGATATCAACTAATTGATTAAGTACATACTGAGAGATTATGGGTAAAAATCATTCTCACACCTAACTAAAATATATAAAGCCAATGGCTTCATGTGCAGTTAACGTGTAAAATTTCATACTGGTAGGATAAAAGAAAAATTTCAGTGAATGTACCCTTTATTAAGTACATCCAGGAAAGACAAACCTACTGATCTGATCTAGAGCAAGTTAAAAGAGTAGATGTGAGACTTGAATCTGATCGCAAGGTTAACAATATCTAGAGAAAGGATGCAAACACAGCACACTATGCTCTCAACAGAATAATGAACCATTCAGCAGTCTGTTCTCATCTATTCCCATACCTCTTGTGGGACAACACTGGCCCAAAGCCTACTGATCACTGTGCTAGAACAGATTTTAATTCAAAAATCTTTCTTCTTACTTTGCTGCAATGTGAAGCAAGCTTCTTTTCACACGTCCAAATGCATAATTGACATCAAATTTTGAATTTGATAGTAGCTCAGAAACAGACCTAAGCCAAAAGAAAATTAATGAGTCAATACATTAAAAAAAGTTTTTAAAAACACAGTAACTCAAGTCTATATCCCTTTAGTTACTCTAACCAATGATCCAAAAAGTTCTGTCCCACATCAACCAAAAAACAAAGCACTATTTTCTGAGCACAGCATGGTAGCCAGCACAGTTTCATCCAAAAAACAACTGCACTGACCTATAAACTGATGTTAAAGGTTTCCTCATCTGCTGATCTATATTATCATCTGCTCTGAAGATACTTAAGTTGGCTTCAGTTCTCCCTAGGTTCTTGAGGAACAAAGAGAGTTGGGATGGTTGCTCCCCCTGCAAAAAGTATAGCCTACGTATATTAATTTCGGCCAAATAAGAAAAGCAGATTTAAACATGTTTTAGTTGTATCACACAGGAAGTTTAAAGCAAAAAATTACTTATATTTTAAACTTGTTTCAAAATAGATTCCTTGTCACTTTCTTATTATACCAACTACCCACTGGCTAACCACAGCGGAGCAGCCTGCTACAAGTATAAACATCTCATCATCCAGCCAGATAACTGTATCGCATATGCACCCTGTAAAAAAAGTGTCCACACTACATCAATAAAAAGAACATCAAAATAGAACATTAGGGAAGTAAGCTGTCCATCAGCCGCAACCTTTTGCAATAAATCATCAGTGACCAACAAAATACCTGACTTAATATCTGATAATTCATTAGAAAATCTCTTACCAAAGAATTTTACAATTGATATGGATCTTGGAAAACGTTGGCTTTTATTTCACAGGCAGTAAACTATAAGAGAGGTTAAATAATGTGTCCCAGGACAACATCTGTGTCCAAACTGTGTGTGTGTTTGTGTGTGTATATGTATGTGTACACAACATAGATAAATGTACTTCTCTTGGGTTTTGGTGTTTTGTTTTGTTTTTTGAGGAGTCCTTTTATTCGTTTCTTTTTTTAAAAGTAGGCTCCCTATGGAGCCTAACACAGGGCTTGAACTCACAACCCTGAGATCAAGATCTGACCTGAAAACAAGAGTCTGCACACTTAACTGAGCCACCCAGGCACCCCTGTCCTGTATATTTATACAAAGAGTATAAATTCGAAATAGACACTTACCTGTGTTGATCAGCCATAACCATTGGCATTAATGTATAAACAGCAGTTTCATTATCTGAGTAAAAAACAAAAAACAAAAACTAAACAAAAAACAGAAAAATATTTAATTTGTCCTATTTTTTCCCAAAGGGCAATACTTAAAACCACCTTAGAGTTTTCCTAATTTCATATAAAAGATGAGAAGAGGTGGAAGGAGATTAAAGATAGTGCAGGATACCAGAGATACTGCAAAATTTGCAGCAATGCAGAATTTCCTATCCTAATGCTAGGTTGCTTTACATCATCACCAAAGTGCTTAGCTTCCGGATTTGATGGGGAAAATGAGAGGCCTGATATTTTCTGTAGCTTTAACAACAGAAATTTCTTTTACTTCCAGAAGAGTGTTTATCAACTTCATGATTTATCAGGCTTACATGTAGTTTTGGGGAATTTTTAAGTATATGGGCATAATAGATATATATGGTAAAATAATTTTAAAACCTTAAATATACATAGTACTTGCTTCTTGCCAATATTATAACAAAGGAAGTTATTTTAGAAACTTTTATGGAACAGCATTAAAGTCTTAGTTTTCCCTGTTACTTTACACTATTAACATTGTAACTTATATCTTTTATAGAATTCACAGATATATGATCTAAAAGAAAAGGGTAAAAGTCAACAATATCTATGAAATGAGACTATACTTATGTAAATTCAGCTTTGTTTGGATTTGTTTTTATAGGTTACTAACGATCATTTCTCAATTCAATGCATTTTAGAGGTTTATGATCTTTTATAGGTCATTTACAGAGAAGTAACTCTGATACTCTTAAAACATTAGTGCCAATGCTAAAATTAAAGTCTCAGGAAGAAAAAGAGTATTTGCATAGCATCAAAGTATCTCCCCAAAATACTGACCACAGTGGAGAAACCAGCAGATCTCCTTCATCAATTGATAAAGGGTAACATCACCAGATGTAATACACACTGATATCATGTAATATCATGTGACCTCTGATATGATCCACATAGCACAGCACATCATGAAAAAACATCAGACAAACCCAAATTAAGGGAAATTTCACAAAATGCCCGAGCAGTCCCCTTAAAAAGTCTCAAGGCCATGAAATACAAGAAAAGACTGAAGAACCATTACAGTTTGGGGAGGGTAAAGAAACAGGGTCAACTAAATGAAACGTGATGTTATCAACTGGATGCTAAAATAGAAAAAGGACATTAGTGAGAAAACTTGTGAGATTCTAATAAAGCCTGTAATGCAGTTAATAGTATTACACCAATGTTAATTCCTTAGTTTTGATAACCGTACTATGGTTATGCAAGATGGGAAAATTATGGGAAGTCGGGAGAAGGATGCATGGGAATTCTATACTATTTACGCAACTTTTCTGTAAGTCTTAAATTACTTAAAAATAAAAAGTTTTAACAAAAGAAGATAAAAGGGTAATTGTTATCGTTAAAAGAGTCTTAAGAGATGATCAACCAAGTATAAGGTGTGGACTTTGGGTACTGATCCAACTGTAAGAGGATGTTTCTGAGAGACAAAAGCTCCGTAGGGAGTGGGTATTTGATGATAATAAAAATTACTGTCATTTGTGTTGGCTCCAACAATAGTATTGTAATTATGTTTGAAAAAAGCAGTTTACATATTCTGAAATACAAACTGAAGAAATATATAACAGAGAGAAGGAAAAAAGTTATCACCATTTCTTCAAGTTTGTTCATTATTTCACTATTTGTAAGTATATCCATGAAAAGCAATTTAGTCCTAGTCATGACTATATACAAGTTCAGCATGCAGACACAACTCTTTCACTACAAAACAAAAACTCTCCCCAAAAAAATCCTAGTCCTCACAGCCCACATGTTTAAATCATTATCTGAAAGGCATTTCTCTAAACACTTTATGTGTATCATCTTTTTTATCCTCACAATCACCTTATAAAAGTAGGTACTATTACTATCCCCATTTTATAAATGAAAAAACTGAGCACTAAGTAACAAGCTGCACAATAGTGGCATTAAGTGGTTAAGCTTGAATTCAAATGTGGCTGATCCCAGGGCCCACACAATAAAAATCTTACAGTGCACTACATAAAGTAACCAAAAGGTTTATAATACCATACTTAGTCCTTTATATGCAGTACACTCTAACTTGTTTTATTCTCTTCTATTTCTTTTTTTCTTTTTTTTTTTTTTTTTTTAATGCTGACTACAATAAATTGTTCTCATTAACTACCAGTGAGTTACCACCAGGAGTTGAAAAATACTGCACTAAGCCTCCCTGGGCATGGCAACATTCTTTATCTCTCATATGATACACACCTCATTAAACATCTGAACTTCCAAACCATGACAATTTCATTAAGTTGCTCCATAATAAACAAAGTCATAAAAAGGAAGTACCCTTATTTTTAATTTAAACTTATAAATCGAGTTAGTACATAATTTTAAATGAGCAAAAGTTTTATAAGGTTCACATGGGTTTTATTTATAGGGTGTTTATTTAGACAAAATTTAGATATAGATCTCCCTTTTTTTAAAGATTTTATTTATTCATGAGAGACCCAGAGAGGGGCAGAGACATAGGCAGAGGGAGAAGTAGGTTCCCTGCGGGGAGCCTGATGAGGGACTGGATCCCAGGATCCCCAGGATCCCATCCTGAGCTAAAGGCAGATGCTCAACCGCTGAGCCACCCAGGTGTCCCTAGATCTCACTTTTTTAAGTCACATATAACTTTGTAAAAACATAGCTCACATATACTAAATGGTATGAGGAAATAAATATAACCATAACTATGATGCTAAAAGGAGACTATTCAGGAAACAGTATATTATGGAAGAATAGAATAAAATTTGTTGTCACCTGCTTCCTTCTCCACACTCAGGAAGACACCTTAAGAACTAGGTATATAATTGAAGTTCTCAGAGTGATAAAAAATGTTTAATCTCTCACTTTTTCAGATTTTCAGTGTTGCCCACTTTTGATTAGTTGATGAAGTTCCAGAACTCTACAACTAAAAGGAAAACTTTAAACAAGGAGCTTTGATTCATTATATTATATACTATTTCTCTTTAAACCATCAAATGGGAGCAATTTTTTTAAAAAAAACCTAATCAGCATTCAAACATATGCTAATATGGGCTCAAGTTCTATTATTTTACAAAACAAGCTACATTTACCGTTAAAATCAGTAACTTAACACTACTTTTTCCACATAATTGACAATATAAACCAATTTTTTAAATCCCATTAAAAGTCACATCCCACAGCAATTCGGCAGTGTGGCAGGATACAAAATCAATGTCCAGAAATCAGTGGCATTTCTATACACTGACAATGAGACTGCAGAAAGAGAAATTAAGGAGTCAATCCCACTCACAATTGCATCCAAAAGCATAAGATACCTAGGAATAAACCTAACCAAAGAAGTAAAGAATCTATACCCTAAAAGCTATAAAACACTTCTGAAAGAAATTGAGGAAGACACAAAGAGATGGAAAAGTATTCCATGCTCATGGATTGGCAGAATTAATATTGTGAAAATGTCAATGTTACCCAGGGCAATTTACACATTTAATGCAATCCCTATCAAAATACCATGGACTTTCTTCAAAGAGTTGGAACAAATCACCTTAAGATTTGTGTGGAATCAGAAAAGACCCCGAATAGCTAGGGGAATTTTAAAAAAGAAAACCATATCTGGGGGCATCACAATGCCAGATTTCAGGTGGTACCAGAAAGCTGTGGTCATCAAGACAGTGTGGTTCTGGCACAAAAACAGACACGTAGATCAATGGAACAGAATAGAGAATCCAGAAGTGGACCCTCAACTCTATGGTCAACTAATATTTGACAAAGCAGGAAAAACTATCTACTGAAAAAAGACAGTCTCTTCAATAAATGGTGCTGGGAAAATTGGACATCCACATGCAGAAGAATGAAACTAGACCACTCTCTTACACCATACACAAAGATAAACTCAAAATGGATGAAAGATCTAAATGTGAGACAAGAATCCATCAGAATCCTAGAGGAGAACACAGGCAACACCCTTTTTGAACCTGGCCACAGTAACTTCTTGCAAGATACATCCATAAAGGGATCCCTGGGTGGCTAAGCGGTTGAGTGCCTGCCTTCCGCCCAGGGTGTGATCCTGGAGTCCCGGGATTGAGTCCCACATCAGGTTCCCTTGCATGGAGCCTGCTTCTCCCTCTGCTTGTGTCTCTGCCTCTGTCTCTCATGAATAAATAAATAAAATCTTAAAAAAAAAAAAAAAGGATACATCTATAAAGGCAAAGGAAACAAAAACAAAAATGAATTATTGGGACTTAATCAAGATAAAAAGCTTCTGCACAGCAAAAGAAACAGCCAACCAAAGAAACACGAATGTGTTCTACCAGAATCCAATCCAGTAAATCAAATCTGAGGTTTAATCCTATGCAACAAGTTAATTTTAGAATAAAAGCTGATTAAATAACATTCTAATGTGTTCCAATTAGATGATAATCACTGAATTATAACATGGCAAAATAAATATCTCATTATGTTCTAAATTTAGAGAGACCTCAGAATTTCCGTGCAGTCTTTAAAATGAAAGCACAACAAGCTGGAGTTTTATAGCTAGATTTTTTTTATAACACATATACATACATACATACTTGAAAGAGCCAATCTCAAAGAATTCAGAAAGAAAGATCCATCAGAATTAGGGACAGGGATGCCTGGGTGGTTCAGTGGTTGAGTGTCAGCCTTTAGCTAAGGGTGTGATCCTGGGGGTCCTAAGATTGAGTCCCACATCGGGCTCCCTGTGGGGAGACTGCGTCTCCCTCAGCCTGTCTCTGCCTCTGTGTGTCTCAAGAATGAATAAATAGAATCTTAAAAAAAAAAAAAATTAGGGACAAAGACAAGATGAGCAAATCCATTATAATGAAAGAAAAACAAAGGGAAGCAAAATGCCACTTTTGCCTAGCGATGTGGGAAAATGTTTCATTTTTATTTACTACTCTAGTTTCTGGAGACTCTCAAGACTGTTGGTGGAACTTTCTAATAAGTAGAAAGGCCGATACTCAGAGCTTTAAAAATGTTGACCTAATTAGATCTATAATTCTTCTTCCACTTATTAATCCTAAAGAAAAACTTAGAAGACTAAGTCTTAAAAACTACAAAGCTGCTCCTCATAAAATCTATTATCAAAAAAAAAAAAAAAATCAAGTCCAGTATTTGTTACATTATCGTATGAAATGCTGCAAGGTCATCTGGCATATTTAAAGATATTTTTTTAAAAGTGATGTTTTCTGGGCAGCCCCGGTGGCTCCGCGGGTTTGCGGGTGCCTTCAGCCCAGGGTGTGACCCTCCCTGGAGACCAGGGATCGAGTCCCACGTCGGGGTCCCTGCATGGAGCCTGCTTCACCCTCTGCCTGTGTCTCTGCCTCTCTCTCTCTCCTCTGTTTCTCATGAATAAATAAATAAAATCTTTAAAAAAATAAAAAAATAAAAGTAATGTTTTCTAAAAGCAAAATAAAAAACTATATGCAGTATGATCTTAATTTGGTAGACAAAGAGAAAAAATAGACATAAAATACTAACACCTGTGTATTACTGAATGATAGAAAAACAGATTTCTAAATTTTTCTTTCTTCCTGAAATTTTCTACAATGAAAATATATATTTTTAGGACCAGGAAACATTATCAAAGTCTTCTAAATCATATTTGTGTAAAAAATAGTGGGATTTGGGATCCCTGGGTGGCGCAGCGGTTTGGTGCCTGCCTTTGGCCCAGGGCGCGATCCTGGAGACCCGGGATCGAATCCCACATCGGGCTCCCGGTGCATGGAGCCTGCTTCTCCCTCTGCCTGTGTCTCTGCCTCTCTCTCTCTCTCTGTGACTATCGTAAATAAATAAATAAAAAAAAAACCTTTAAAAAAAAAATAGTGGGATTTAAACTAAGCAACACAACTGCCAAGTCAATGAAACTGCGTGCTGTGGTCTTCACCAACCTACACCCACAATTTGTGGAAAACGAGTGAGGCCAGCATGCACCAAACGGACTCAAACATAAAAACTGCAAAGAAAATATTGAAAGCAGACATTCAAGCTGCAAGTCCAGTTACTAAAATCACTATTTTCGGTCAACTACTTCACACCAGCAGAGCACCAAGGAGAAAATCACTTTTCAGAAAGTCACACAAACCATCCCTGTTCTTAATCTGAAGTAGAGACCAGGGGGTAAATTTTTCATGAAAATTATCCCCAAAGTTCCCAGTCCCACATTTATTTGATGACTCTCTCCCAAGGCCTCCTATAACCTGCAAATCACCTCTCCAGCGGCAGTTCAAAGAAAGTTTTGAAGAATGAAGGGCAGTCCCGGTGGCTCAGTGGTTTAGCGCCGCCTTGGGCCCAGGGCGTGATCCTGGAGACCCGGGATCGAGTCCCGCATGGAGCCTGCTTCTCCCTCTGCCTGTGTGTGTCTCTTTCTGTGTCTCTCACAGAATAAATAAAATCTTAAAAAAAAAAAAAAAAAAAAAAGATACACTAACACAATGTATTAAAAAAATCAGCAGCCATAACCCGCGAACCCTTCTGTCACTGGGCCTTCAGAACCAAAGGGCGGCACTGCCGTGTCCCGCTGCCACTCGCACGGGGGGATTTCGTGAGGCTGCGAACAAAAACGGCTTCCTCACCTCCTTCTAGAGCTGGTGCCTTCTCTAGCCCGTTCTAAAGAAACCCTGGCACGATGGACTATAATCCCTCAGCTGCAGGGATCATGCCTGGTTCCTTTGTGGAAGGTCCCCAACCTGCACTTCCGCCTGACGAATCCATGAGGCATGAAGGCAGGCCGGCACCGTTTCAAAGCGTGTATGCGCGGACGCACCCACACACACCCCCCACCCCAGTACTGGACGAGTACATACTTGACACCCTTTTAATCGATCTATTCATCGTCAAAATACCAGAACACGGGGACCCGGGGTGGCTCAGCGGTTGAGCGCCTCCCTTCGGCTCGGGTCGTGACCCCGGAGACCGGGAATCCAGTCCTGTGTCGGGCTCCCTGCGCGGAGCCTGCTTCTCCCTCTGCCTGTGTCTCTGCCTCTCTTTCTCTCTCTCTCTCTCTGTGTGTGTCTCTCATGAAAAAATAAATAAAACCCTTAAAGATATAATAAAATAAACATTTCTTTGGGCAGCCCGGGTGGCCCAGCGGTTGAGCGTCTGCCTTCAGCCCGGGGCGTGACCCCGGAGACCCGGGATCGAGTCCCACGTCGGGCTCCCTGCGCGGAGCCTGCTTCTCCCTCTGTCTCTGTGTCTCTCATGAATAAATAAATAAAATTAAGTATATACATATATATATATATCAAAACACAATAATGCTCTGCATTTCCGAAAAGAAAAGAAAGGCTTAATTCCCACTCTGCAGCTTAAACTTCGAAAAAAAAAAAAAAAATGTGTTTCGGTGAACGTCCGGACCCCGGGCTAGCGACGACCGTCAAGTGCCCCACAGCCGGGGTGTTCTCCGACTCCGGGTCCGGGCCACCCGACTGGTATCCGCCTTGTCCCTTCGCCAAACCGCACGGCGCCCGTGGGGAGACGCTTCTCCCGCCCGCAGGCCCGCAGGCCCGGAACGGCCGCGAGCTCCCCGCGAGGACGCGGAAGGCGCGCGTCCCCCGCGCGGGGCAGCCGCCCCCGGCCCCGGCCCCGCCCCCGCCCCCGCCCCGCTCACCGTCCGGCAGCTCCACGGTGCGCGCGCGGCGCAGCGAGCGCGTCAGGCGGTTGAGCTGCTCCATCGCTCTCTCCATCCTCGGCGCGCCCTCCGCGCCCACCCCGCCGCGCCGGCGGCCTCCGCGCCCAGCGCCCTACATCCCGCCCCGGGCCGGCTCGGCGGCCGGAGGCACGGGCTCGCCCCGCCTAACGCCCGGGGCTGCGCGGAGGACCGGGCACTGCCGGACCGGCCACTGACGGGCCACTCGCCGCCGCCGCCGCCGCCGCCCGCGCGCTTCCTGCCGCCTTCGCCGCCGCCGCCGCCGCCGCTTCCCTCCCGCTTCGCACGGCCTTCTGGGAACTGTAGTCCAGAGCCCGCCCACCCGCGCGCCGGAGGCGGAGCCACGCTGGGTGCGCGGACGCCGGGGAGAGAGCGGAGCGCGGGAGGCGAGGCCGGGACCCCGCGAGCCCCCGAGTTCCTGGCGAGGCTCGCGGTGCCCTCCAGGGTTGCAGACGAGCAGCTTCCTCCAGTTCTCTCCCCCTCCTGTACAGCCGATTGGGCTTTTGCGCAGTTGTTCTTCGAATCCATCCTTCCCCTTCCCCACCCTAGGCGGGGTGCATTGGTTTTCCAGATGCATAAACTCTCCAAAGAGCTTATTCTCGTGCATCAAACTTAAGATTAAACTCAAACAAATGCAAAGCTTCGTGAGGGCAAAGCACCACTCTGTCTCGTGTCTTGGACTCCCATGCTTATCACCTGACACACAGAAGACGACACTTTAAGGAAGATCTAGATGATGACATCCTTTTTTTTTAATATTTTTTAAACTTTTATTTATTTATGATAGTCACACACAGAGAGAGAGAGAGAGAGAAGCAGAGACACAGGCAGAGGGAGAAGCAGGCTCCATGCACGGGAGCCCGACGTGGGATTCGATCCCGGGTCTCCAGGATCGCGCCCTGGGCCAAAGGCAGGCGCCAAACCGCTGCGCCACCCAGGGATCCCGATGATGACATCCTGAAAGAGAATTGTGGTTTCTTTGATACAGTGCTGAAGTGTCAAAGTGATGGCAGATCCCGGTGGGGAATGCAGACTTTGACTTTGTGAGTTGGGAAGAAAGAAAGAGAGAAAGAGATAAAGAAAGAAAGGAAAGAAAGAAAGAAGACAGAGAGAGAGAGAGAGAGAGAGAGAGAGAGAGAGAAAGAAAGAAAGAAAGAAAGAAAGAAAGAAAGAAAAGGAAGAGAAAAAAAGAAAAAAGAAAGGAAAAAAAGAAAAAAGAAAGGAAAGAAAGAAAAAAGAAAGTGAAAGAAAGAGAAAAAGGAAAGAGAGAAAAACAAAGAAAGGAAAGAAAAAAGAAAGAGAGAAAGAAAAATGAAAGAAAGAAAAAGAAACTTGACAGTACCAAGTGTGGAAGAAACGACTTATGAGGAAATCAGTGGGGGAAAATCATATTTGTCAGCTCTGCACAGAACTTGAGCACAAGCCAAGGGAAAAACAGAAATTTGAGCAGCTGAAACATGAAAGAATCCAATCCAGGTAAATACAAACCTGGCTACGCCTCTAACAGTGAAAAGTTGAGGGAGGGATTTTCTTGGATGCTGAAGTAATAAAGAAGCAAACAGCATGGACTTTCTCACCTTCTTCAAAGAAGCAAAGCTGTTCCCAGAAAGAAAGGGAAGGAAGGGAGGGAAGGAGGGAGGAAGGAAGGAAGGGGCAAAGCTGTTGCTGCAATAAAGGGGCAGATGTGTGCTGATGATGTATGTTGACTGACTGAGAGCAGTAAAGAGTCTCACCTGCCCATCCAGAATACGCTGGGGCACATGGTAGCTGCATGGTGTTCCCTGCCAATACCAACCTAAATCAGCTTCAGTCTAGACTGCAACTGTGAGGCACTTTTGTCAGCGGTGCAACAGGCTCAGGGCAGACCTTCTAACTAGTTGGTTCAGATGAGACCTAAACCAGTCTAACAACAGGATTGAGGGACGCCTGGGTGGCTCAGCGGTTGAGCATCTGCCTTTGGCTCAGGGCGTGATCCCAGTTCGGGGATCAAGTCCCACATCGGGCTTCCTGCATGGAGCCTGCTTCTCCCTCTGCCTGTGTCTCTGCCTTTCTCTGTGTGTCTCTCATGAATAAATAAATAAAATCTTTAAAAAATAATAACAACAGGATTGGGAGGCCAAAGTTCCAAAGGAATCCCAAATGCTACAGCCCAGTCTGGGTCATACCCAACCCTTTGCAACCTGGTTTCAACTGGAAATGCTTCAGCCTTTCTCTTCCTCCATTCAGGTCAAGACCACTACTGTAGAGAAGTTAACACCTCTGCCCCTGTTAGCACTACCACTCCCGAAGCTGTTAGTCCATACAAATTACTTCCAGCGTCCTGTGAGCACCAAGCCTGAACGTCTGAGTACAGAGGCAAGATTGCCCAGCAGCCTCCGTAGTGGGCATTGCTCCCTATGCCGGTCACTGTTCACCACAGGAGCAGAAGATACTGGAAGAACGCTGCTATAGGGACACCTGAGTGGCTCAGTGGTTGAGCGTCCGCCTTTGGCTCAGGTTGTGATCCCAGGTTCCTGGGATCAAGTCCTGTGTCAAGCTCCCTGCAGGGAGCCTGCTTCTCCCTCTGTGTCTTTATCTCTCTCTCTGTCTCCCATGAATAAATAAAATCTTTCAAAAAAAATGCTGCTATGGATTATCAGGTCTAAATTCTGCAACATGATACAGAGTCTCGGCTCCAAGGTGTATGAAGCTACATTCCTATTACAAGCTTATCACCTCCTGTCCAATAGAATTTTCTACAAAGATAGAAATGTTCAGGGCACCTGGATGGCTCAGTTGGTTAAGCATCAGACTCTTGATTTTTCCTCAGGTCATGATCTCAGGGTTGTGGGATGGAGCCCTATGTGGGGCTCTGCACTGGGCATGGTGACTGCTTAAGATTTTCTCGCTTCTCCATCTACCTTTCTGCACCCTCCTCCTTCTCTAAGTAAGTAAATAAATAAATAGGCAGATTTTTCTGTGGCCCCATTTTAGCTTTCTTTTTTTCTATTTCTGAATATTTTTTTTCTACCTGGAAATTGGTTCTAATGGAGATACCAAAGCTTAAGTTTCTCCATTTGAAAGAAGAAAACTATCAATGTGACAAAAAGCAGGAAGAGAGCAGGGGGTGGAAAAAGTAAAGAACAAGGAACATCATTGTAAAAACATAAACATAGGACAGTAGGAATCAGTCCAAATACATCCATGGCCATAGTCACAGAAAATAAAAAGAGGAAACTTAATGGTTAAAAAACAGAAGTCTTAGATTGAATAAACATGTAAAACAAAATAACTATTTGCTATTTCTAAAAGACCACCATTCACAGGAGACCACCATGCCAAGAGAAAAATGGTAAAAAAGACAAACCAAATAAATTTTAAAGAAACAATATTGTTATATATTAGTCCGGGTGCTCCAGAGAAGTAGAACCAATAAACTGTGTGTACATTTATAGAGATTTATTACACAATATTGGCACCTGTGATTATGGAAGCTGTCCAGTTGAAAATCTGCAGTGTGGACAAGGGGGCTGGACACCCAGTAGAGCAGACGGTGCAGATCAAGTCTGAAAGGAGTCTGCCAAAGAATTCCCTCTTGCCAGTCTTTTCATTCTTTTCAGGCCTGCAAGAGATTGGATGAAATCCACTCACATTATGAAGGGCAATCTGCTTTATTCAGAGTTCACTGATTTAAGTTTTCATCTCATCCAAAAAATCCTCCAAATGGACACATAAAATGAACTATCTACAAACACATTTAAGATTAGCAAAATAAACTTTAGAGCAAAAAAACATAATTAGAGTCAAAGAGAAGAATCACCAATAGTTTGTAATAGTCTATACCTGACAACAGAGACTAAAAATAAATCTACATTTGACAGAATTACAAAAAATAGTTCTACCACAAACAGAATTTTCAGAAGATTTATTTATTTATTTGGGGGGGGGCGGGGAGGAGCAGAGGGAGAGAGAGAGAGAGAGAGAGAGAGAGAATCTCAAGCAGACTCCCTGCCAAGCGCAGAGCCTGACACGGGACTCCATCCCATGACCCTGAGATCATGACCTGAGCCAAAAATCAGGAGTCAGACACTCACTCAAGCACCCTCTTTTAAAAGTTAAGTTAAATTAAAAAGATTTATTTATTCATTTATTTGGGATGGGGGACAACAAGAGGAGGAGAGAGGATTGTAAGCAGACTCCCCAAACAGTAGATGTTTAATACCTTTCTCTCTGAAACTGATAGAGATGGAAGAAAAAGATATGTAAGGAGATACAAGATTCAGAACATCGAAATACAAGCCTCATCAAGGGCATGTGTGAAAGCTTCACCCCCCTAACATAGAATACACATTCTTTTATTTATTTATTTAAGATTTTATTTATTCATGAGAGACACAGAGAGAGAGAGGCAGAGACACAGGCAGAGGGAGAAGCAGGCTCCATACAAGGAGTCCGATGTGGGACTTGATCCCAGGACTCCAGGATCATGCCCTGGGCCAAAGGCAGGTGCCAAACCGCTGAGCCACCCAGGGGTCCCCAACACATTCTTTTAAAGTGTATGAGTTACATCAAAAAACACAAAGGGCAGTAGTGCTTGTCTTCCAAACAGTATCAGGCAGGAGACAACTAATGATACCATGAGAGAAGCCGGGGTGTTAGGGATTTAATGACTTTCTTTTTGTAGTTAAGGTTTTGGTGTTCCCGGGCAGTGCCATTTCCCATCCACCTTCCACACCATGGCCCCCTCAGCATTGTCACCGGACCTGAAATGTAACACGTACCTTTCCCCTGTTGTCTCCTTCACTCCTGCCCCTCTCCCATGAGCTCTGATGAAAAATTGTTGACTGTAGCTTTGGAAGTTGAGAACTGAACTATTTCAGTTCCAGGAAATAAAACCCATTGATAAAACAAACAAACAAACAAACAAAAAAAAAGGGTATAGTGGGAACCCCAAGGAATGAAGTGGACAGAGGCAGGATCAAAGGAAAACGAAGCAAGGTTGGGGTGGGCGGTGGCGGTCAAGGGATGCAGGGGACATAGGAACTAGAAAAACATAAACTCTGGAGCTGAGCCACAAGAAGCAGCGACAGGTTTCATTAAACCATACTCTCTCATTCAGTATACAAGAAACTGAATCTTTAAAGATTTTATCTGTTTGAGAGAGAGAGAGAGAGAGCACGAGCAGGGGGGAGGGTCAGAAGAAGAGGGAGAAGCACACTGCTGGTCAAGCAAGGAGCCTGATGGAGGGCTTGATTCCAGAACTCTGGGATCATGACCTGAGCCAAAGGGAGATGTTTAACCAACTGAGCCACCCGGTGCCCCTACAAGAAATAGAATTCTTAAATTAAAATTCAGGATCCGAGTCCGCTTCTCCCTCTCTCCCTGTGGACCTCCCCACTGCTCATGTGTGCGCTCGCTCGCTCTCTCTCGCTCTTGCTCTAAAATGAATAAGTGAAAAATCTTTCAAAAAAAAAAAAAAGGTTTAGGATCCCCCACTTGCCATATGGGATTTCACTACTTCAGAATATTGAAGCCATTATTATACCTGCAAAGACCTTTCTGGATCCTGCATCTACTACCACTCAGGTGTTCAGTATCCTATCATCTATATCATATGTGGATTTGACAAACTCTTCAGAGATTTAAGTCAAATAAAAGCACAAATATGACAGGAGGCCAAAGAAAAAAGTTATTAGAATTGCCACTTAAGACTTTTCCTAGATTATCTTTGATTCATTAATGGGCTCTTTTGGGGAGAATGTTTCATCATTTATGAATACATCTAATTGTCCATCTATTAAAGGCCATGTAAAAATGATTGTGCACCTTTTGGCCCTGTGAAGAGTAAGGACCTGTGTGGTAAGAACTGAGGCCAGCCTTGAGCCAGTGAGGCACTGAATCCTGCCAGCAATGACATGAGTGAGCTCAGAAGCAGATCTCCTCCAGTCAAGCTTTCAGATGACCACAGCCTTGGTTGACACCTTGCAGCTTTGTGAAAGACTCTGCAGCGGAGGACTCATCTAAGCTCTACCCTGACTCCTGACCTAGAGAAACCGAGATGATAAATGTTGTTTAAAGCCACTAAAAAAAAAAAAAAAATTGTGCACATTTTAATCCATTCATTTCACCTTTGGGAATATAGCCCGAAGAAATGATCTAAAATAAAGACAAGGATTTAAAAGTAAATATATTCTGGGGTGCCTGGGTGACTCAGTTTGTTAAGCATCTGCCTTTGGCTCAGGTCATGATCTCAGGGTCCTGGAATCGAGCCCTGCATTGGGCTCAGCAGTCTGCTTGTCTCCCTCTTGCTCTCCCTCTGCCCCTCCTCCTGCTCATGCTCTCTGTCTCTCTCTCTCTCAAATAAATAAACTCTTTAAAAAATTTTTAATTAAAAATAAATATATATATTTTTAAAGAGTTTATTTATTTATTTATTCATGAGAGACACACAAAGAGAGAGAGAGGCATGGACACAGGCGGAGGGAAAAGCAGGCTCCATGCAGGGAGCCCAATCTGGGACTCGATCCTGGGTCTCCAGGATCACACCCTGGACTGAAGGTGGCGCTAAACCTCTGAGCCACCAGGGCTGCCCCAAAATAAATATATTAATTTGTTCATTCAGAAGTATGTTTTGAACGTTTAATGCAATCCCTATCAAAATACCATGGACTTTCTTCAGAGAGTTAGAACAAATTATTTTAAGATCTGTGTGGAATCAGAAAAGACCCCAAACAGCCAGGGGAATTTTAAAAAAAGAAAACCATATCTGGGGGCATCACAATGACAGATTTCAGGTTGTACTACAAAGCTGTGTTCATCAAGACAGTGTGGTACTGGCACAAAAACAGACATATAGATCAATGGAACAGAACAGAGAACCCAGAAGTGGACCCTGAACTTTATGCTCAACTAATATACGATAAAGGAGGAAAGACGATCCACTAGAAGAAAGACAGTCTCTTCAATAAATGGTGCTGGGAAAATTGGACATCCACATGCAGAAGAATGAAACTGGACCACTCTCTTGCACCATACACAAAGATAAACTCAAAATAGATGAAAGATCTAAATGTGAGACAAGATCCCATCAAAATCCCAGAGAAGAACTCAGGCAACACCCTTTTAGAACTTGGCCACAGTAACCGGAGAAGGACAAACAGTGTATGTTCTCATTCATTTGGGGAATATGAATAATAGCGAAAGGGAATATAAGGGAAGGGAGAAGAAATGTGTGAGAAATATCAGAAAGGGAGACAGAACATAAAGACTTCTAACTCTGGGAAATGAACTAGGGGTGGTGGAGGGGGAGGAGGGTGGGGGGTGGGGGTGAATGGGTGACGGGCACTGAGGGGTACACTTGACGGGATGAGCACTGGGTGTTATTCTGTATGTTGGTAAATTGGACACCAATAAAAATTAATTTATAAAAAAATAAATAAATAAATAAATAAAGAAGTATGTTTTGAGTACCTCCCATGATCCAAGCACTATACTGCATATCTTAAATATTTTTCAAATAATTACACTTATGAATATATCATTATAAATAGAGATAAATGCTCTGAAAGAAAGGAAAACCATTCTGTGACAGACTGAGAACATTTAGAAAGGCTTTCCCAAGAAACAGACTTTTAATCTAAGAATCAAAAGATCAACAGGGAAAAAAAAAGATGAATAGGAGATACCTACACATAGGAGAAAGGGTGGTGAGGAACATTCTGAACAGAGAGAAAGGTATTTGCAAATATCTTGTGGTGCAAGGAATGTTTAAGAAACGTAAAGAAAGTCTTTCAGTTATGTCACTAAAAGCTAAGGAGTAAAAGGGAGTACCCTGTGAGATGAAACAGTTTCCAGCAGTGGAAAGGAATTAAAGAATTGGAAGCTCATGGGAATAATATGATCAGATCCATCTTCAAAAAGAAAAAATAAAAACTCTCCTCCCAAAGTACGAAGAATGAATTGGATTCATGGTAGAGTACATAAGGAAAGACTGGTTAGGGGTACTAGTTAGTCTAAGTGAGAGATGATTGTCTTTTGAACTAGCATAATGACTCTGTAAGTGGAGAGAACAGACTGGATTGAGAAATATTTTGCTGATAAAATCAATAACTGATGATGGATTGGTATGGAAAATATGAGAAAGGTGGATCATGCAACTGCGTAATTGACAGTATCATTGCCTGGAACAGAAAACACAAGGACAGAACCAAGTTTAGAAGAGTAGATCATGGGACACTAGAATGGCTCAGCGGTTGAGCGCCTGCCTTTGGCTGAGGGCGTGATCCCGGATTCCTGGGTTCGAGTCCCACATCAGGCTTTCTGCATGGAGCCTGCTTCTCCCTCTGCCTGTGTCTCTGCCTCTCTCTCTCTGTCTCTCATGAATAAATAAAATTTTAAAAAAGAAAAAAGAGTAGATCATGTCATGAGAGTCTGAAGTAGCTCTGAGGTAGTGAAGTGGGGATATCAGGTAGATATGTGAACACATAGCTATTCTGAGCTAGAGATAAATACTTGGAGATATCATTGGATAGATGGTGTTTGAAACCCAATTTAAGAGTATAAAGTAGAAAAGAAAAAGAGTATAAAATAGAAAACTAGAGCTAAATTATCAAAGATTGATCCCTGCAGGCTGACTTCCCAGAGGGGAGGCAATCTTCCTGAAAAGCTCGATGGAAACTGGACAAATCTGAGCGGTAAAGGTAGTGTATTCCAACAGAATATCGAGGTATTGGATCAGGGTGTGCAAGAGTGAAGAGTAAGAGGGAGGTAGCTGGAATGGGATGTGGGGTTAAGAGGTTTTTCTGTTTTGTATTTTCAAGTAATCAAATAATTGAAGATGGGTTTTTTTTAATTTTTTAAAAGATTTTATTTATTTATTTATTTATTTATTTATTTATTTATTTATTTATTTATTTATTTATTCATGAGAGACACAGAGAGAGAGGCAAGACACAGGCAGAGGGAGAAGCAGGCTCCATGCAGGGAGCCTGACGTGGGACTCGATCCCGGGTCTCCAGGACCACGCCCTGGGCCGAAGACGGGCAGTAAACCGCTGAGCCACCCCGGTGTCCCTGAAGATGTTTTAAATGCTCTGCTTGAAACTCATAGAATAATCCAGAAAATAAAGGAAAGTCTTAGTCCATTCAGGCTGCTATAACAAAAATCTCAGAGAGTGGGTGATTTAAACAACAAACATTTATTTCTCAGTTCAGGAGACAGGAAGGTCAAATCAGGGTACCAGCATGGTGGGATTCTGATGATGCCTTCTTCCAGGTTGCAAACTGCTGTTTCCTTGTACCCTCACACAGCAGAAAGAGCGAGAGAGCTCTGTGAAGCTTCTTTCTTAAGGGCACTAATCCCATTTACAAAGCTTCATCCTTATGACTTAATCACCTCCCAAAGACCCCACTTCCTAGTGCCATCACTTTAGGGGTTAGGATTTCAATATATAACTTTTGGAGAAACACAAACATTTGGTCAATAATGAGGAATAATTAATAATGTAAGATCTAAAGCATGGGAAGCTTCGTAAATAAATGAGAACTCCTTCAATGTTCAACAATAAGAAAATTGTCCAACAAATTGCAGTATGTCTACATAATGCAATGTTTTGCAGCCATTACAAATGGTGTGTATGAGAAAAGGACAGCATTGATCCCAGGAAGGGCAAGGCGGGAGGGGGCTCTGGGGATAGACAATTAAGTGACAAAGGTCAGCAATGGCAGTGAGACTTATCACTTTATCCCTCTACAACTCTTTCTAATTTTCACCTCTATGAATTCATTTCTTATTCAACACTGTGAAAATAAACATAGTAAATAATGTGAAACAAGAAACAATGATAAATATGTAAAGCATTAATATATAAAGTATTTGCGGTTTCCCCCAAAATATTCAACCTCCCTATACTTTTATGAGAATCCTTATTTAATTTTTTTCCAAGGGTAGAGGATTTTAAAATTATTATTAAGGATTTTTTTTTTACTTAAAGTAAGGAAAATAGCAAAATAAAATCCTATATATTCATCATCCAATCAATCTTGTTTTGTCAATATTCCCATTGACACTCCACCCTCATGCTGGATTACTTTTTTTTCCCCCTTCTATGTGATTTTTATTAGGGGATGGAGGTGAACATGGGGGCATTATTAAGTTCTCAGCACAGGAGCCAGGGTATAGGAAATTTTGGAGCCTCCTCCTGGGGCACAGCCACAGAGGAGGGGGCAGCTCTTCTGGCACTCAAGAGAAGGTAGTTAGTTTTAAGCCATTCTTTCACTTTATTGTAAGTCTCCATAAACCAGTCCCTGATCTTCGCAGGAATGCCACTCAGCTTGATGCTCTCAATGGCCTCCCATGCCTTGTCCTCCAGGTGTTACCAAACTCCTTCAGCTTATCTGGGATGCACTCCAAAGTTCTGGTTATTTGTGAGGCCACCTGGGCCAAGGCTGGGCCTTCCAAGACCATCCACAGAACCACCGCCACAACCGGGAGCGACAGGATGAGCCTCATGGTTAGGTCCAAGGGAGAGTCTGGTTCAGTCTCAGGACAGCACGGGGTTACACTGGATTACTTTAATGTAAATTGCAGACATTGTAGCATTTTATCTGTAAACATTTCTCATGTATCTTCAAAAGATAAAGGACTCCCCAAAATAATTATACTACTATAATTATAAAATGTTTGCAAATTGATATTGTCAAATATCCAGATGATGTTCACATTTTCTCAACTGTCTTAGTCATATCTTTTTTTTTTTAGTCATATCTTTTTTAAAAAGACTTTATTTGCAAGAGAGTGAGAGGACAAGCGGGGGTGGGGGAAGATAAACAGACTCCCCCGCTAAGTATGAGGGGACATGGTCTCAATCCCAGGACCCCGAGATCACAATCAGAACCAAAGTCAGATGGTCAACCAACCGAGCCACCCAGGTATCTTTTACATTAGTTTCAGGTATAAAACATTTGACAAATCTATACATTACCTGATGCTTGCCACGGTATGTATAGTTACCATCTGTCACCATATAACCTTATTATAATATTATTGACTATATTCTTTATGCTGTATTTTTTACCCTTGTGACTTATTTTACAACCAAAAGTTTGTAACCCTTAATCCCTTTTTCCTATTTTACCCATCTCTTCCTCTGCCCTCCCCTCTGGCAACCACCAGTTAGTTCTTTGTTTTTATGAGTCTGTTCTAAATTCAGGTTTGTTCATTTGTTTTGTTTTCATGGATTCCACATATAAATGAAATCATATGGCATTTTCTTTATCTTATTTCACTTAGCATAAAACTCTCTGGGTCATCTATGTTGTCATAAATGACAAGATTTTGTTCATTTTTATGGCTGAGTAATATTCCATTGTGTGTATGCATAAATAAATATGTATATCTTAGACATTTTTGACAATTTTTTAAGATTTTTTTTTGAGAGAGAGAGCATGAGTGGGAGGGGCAGAGGGAGATTAGAATAATTTGATACTCATTTGGAGAAAAAGGAAAAGAATCCCAATCTCTATGTCACATCATACAAATTAATCTGGGAAAGATCATAAATCTGCACATAAGAGCTAAAACTATAAAGGTTTAAGAAGAAAATACAGGAGACTACTTTCGTGGTCTAGGAGAAGGCAAAGATTTCTTATACAGGTCACTGAGAGCAAAAAAATATAAAAGCAGACATTTGATGTTAGTTTTCAATGTTAAAAACTCATGCTCATCAAAAGATACCATTATAAACAAACAAACAAAAAAAGATACCATTATGAAAATGAATAGGCAAATCATCCATGGGAGGGGCGCCTGGGTGATTGGTCAGTTAAGTCTCTGTCTTTTGATCTCAGCTCAGATCTTTATCGCAGGGTGGTGAATTTGAGCATCGTGCTGGTGCTCAAATTATCCATGGGAAAGAATAATCATAAAGTACATATATTATAAAGAATTTCTTGGGCAGCCTGGGTGGCTCCGTGGTTTAGCACTGCCTTCAGCCCAGGGCCTGATCCTGGAGACCTGAGATTGAGTCCCATGTCGGGCTCCCTGCATGGAGACTGCTCCTCCTCCCTCTGTGTCTCTGCTTCTATCTGTGTGTCTCTCATGAATAAATAAATAAAATCTCAAAAAAAAAAATACAATCTAGTAGGGATACCTCGCTGGCTCTGTCACTAGAGCATGAGACTCTAGACCTCAGAGCTTGAGTTCAAGCTCCATATCGGGCATAGAGCTTGCTTAAAAGAAAGTTTTTTAAAGCAATAAATAAAAGATGACCTAATAAATTGGAGATATTTGTGCTATAGTACTCTCAGAAAATGTATCACCCCTGAGACAGAAAGATATTCCAGTATCTTTTTTTAAAAAGATTTTATTTATTTATTCATGAGAGACACAGAGAGAGGCAGAGACACAGGCAGAGGGAGAAGTAGGCTCCCTGCGGGGGGCCTGATGTAGGACTTGATCCTAGGACCCCGGGATTACACCCTGAGCTGAAGGCAGATGCTCAACCACTGAGCCACCAGGTGTCCCGACATTCTAATATCTTTTATGACACACAAAGATAGTATTATTCTAGTAAAGCATGAGCCTTTTTCTCTAAGACTAAAATGAAATAATATAGGAATAGGTTGGAAGATGTTCTCCTTTCCAGACAACATTCATGCTTAACATATGGGAGAGAATTAGTCCTGGAAAAACCTAATTGCAGTAAAATAATTTTTTTGAGTCCTGAGATAACATACTACAAATATTGAGGACATATACATTAAAAAAAATCCATACCTAACTCTATGAATTCAAAGTACTATAGATACCAATTCTCTTCCCCACGTATCAACCATAGTAAGTACATGCCAACAGCAGCCAATGCTTGCAGATACAAATTGCAAAGTACATATTGCAATCTACTTTCTCGGGAGTAGATTATTGCAAACCTACATGAAATTTAGGATTAAAATTAAATTAAATGTATTCACTTTGGGAGAGATGTAAATCATGGGATTTCCATAAATCTCATAAATAGTGATTGTGTAAAGTAGAAGCTTTTGGCTGACTAAAATAATTTTGATGTTTAAAATCTCAATTACTGTTGCAAAAATTTCATGGTTTACGCTAATATTAAAAGTAGTCCTAGGGGGCGCCTGGGTGGCTCAATGGTTGAGCGGCTGCCTTTGGCTCAGGTCGTGATCCCAGGATCCCAGGTTCAAGTTCCACATCAGGCTCTCCACGGGGAGCCTGCCTCTCTCTGTGTGTCTCTCATGAATAAATAAATAAAATCTTAGGGCAGCCCCGGTGGGTCAGAGGTTTAGCGCCGCATTCAGCCCAGGGTCTGATCCTGGAGACCCAGGATCGAGTACCATGTCGGGCTCCCTGCATGGAGTCTGCTTCTCCCTCTTCTGTCTCTGCCTCTCTCTTTCTATCATGAATAAGTAAATAAAATCTTTAAAAAGAAAAAGGTCTTACAAAGTGATGCATTAGAATATAGAGATAGGCAACCTCCAAAGTGAGACTCATTCTGAGAATTTTAAATTTTTAAACTTTTATATATTTTTAAGATTTTATTTATTTACTTTAGAGAGAGTGATTGAGAGAGCAAGCATGAGCAGGAACAGGGGAGGGAGAGAAGCAGACTCCCCACTGAGCAGGGAGCCCAATGCAGAGCTCCATCTTGGGACTCCCAGATCATGACCTAGGCAGAAGGCAGACGCTTAAACGACTGAGACACCCAACCACCCCAAAATTTTAAATTTCTAAAGCACTAGCAGAAGTCTCTGAATTTCATTATAAACGAAATGAAATCAGTAATCAGTCCTATGAAAGAATTTTGTGAATTTTGTAGCAGGTTTAGTGCCCTTAGTGATCACTTGATAGCGTGAAAGATGTTTCCTAACAAAAAATAATAGTGTCAAGAAAATTAGTATTATTGAACTTGTGTATATTTGAAATTATACATATTCTTTTTTCCTATTTCAGTAAAATTCTGCCTTTTCTAAACATTCAGTTTGAGTTAGATAAAATATGTTAATGAGTCCATGTCGTCATCAGTAGCTTAGTCCCAAATGCGATGCAAACAAATATTTATATGCAAAGTGAAGGTGGACATACAATAAAGAATAGCCATTTTTATTTTACTCTCAGGGAGAACAAATTCTAGAAAGTTGTGACATGTGCAAATATAATAGTAATACATGGCAAACTGTGGAGTTTCCTTCAAGTTGTGATAAAAACCCTGGAGATATGAGGGGGGAGAATGATCACTTCATAGCAGGGAGGGAGTGGAATCAAGGAAATTTTCATGCCCAAAAGGAGGTCACATTAACACATGGGGAATAGAAACAAGCAGGACAATCTGATTAACAACAAATAATAACAGCTGATAATTGTTGAGCATTAATAGCTCATTTAGCTGAGGCTTATGGGCAATTGGAGCATTAAGGCTAACATTTGTTAGCCAGATTTTACTTAGCCTTGATGCTGTGGAGGAGCTTGAGGCCAGCTCTGCGAGCAGTGAAGAACGACATAATTAGATGGTAGTAGATGATGATGGTAACAAGTGAGTAAGTTAATAGGCCCTACAATTATACAGGTGAGTGCAAACAAAACATGGTATTAAGGTTGGAGTGAAGAAAAATGATGGATGTGGATACTCCGGATTAACAGGATGCAGAATCTAGAATCTAGAGGGGCTGTGGACTACATGGGCAAGAGTTAAAGATGACTCCAAACTTAGTGGTAGTCAGGAGTAAGTTCTTTTGAGGGAGAAAAGCTTGTTCAAAGTTAAAACGAGAGCACTTGGATGGCTCTGGGTTGTAAATTTGAGCTCCACATTGGGTGTAGAGATTACTTAAAAATAAAATATTTTTTAAAAGTTGTTGAAGACTTTTAAACAGGGGTGCCTGGATGGCTCCATCGGGTAAATGTCTGCCTTCCACTCAGGTCAATATCCTGGAGTCCCAGGAGCCCCCACATCGGGCTCCCTGCTCAGTGAGGACTCTGCTTCTCCCTCTCCCTCTGCTCCTCTCCTCTGCTCCTGCCTCTCTCACACTCACTCTCTCAAATGAATAAATAAAAAATTTAAAAAACAATAAACAGATTTCCATAAAGGAAGGCATTTTATTTATTTATTTATTTAGACAATCGTTTTATTTTTATTTATGATAGTCACAGAGAGAGAGAGAGAGAGAGAGAGAGGCAGAGACACAGGCAGAGGGAGAAGCAGGCTCCATGCACCGGTAGCCCGACGTGGGATTCGATCCCGGGTCTCCAGGATCGCGCCCTGGGCCAAAGGCAGGCGCCAAACCGCTGCGCCACCCGGGGATCCCTTGACAATCGTTTTAAATTCAGGTCCTCCGTTTCTCATAAAGCTAGGTCTGAGACATTCAAATTTAGTGTTATGAATGTTTGGTTCTGTCTCCCCTCCACTTGGTGCAGCAGACTTACTGGTGAACACATGTCACCATGTTTCTTACTATTTATGTGCACATGCCGTGTCTCCAACTCTAAATCATAGACTGCAG